GTGCATGCCTGTAATTCAAGCACTTTTGGGAGGGCCGAGACAGGCGGATTACTTGAGGGGCAGGAGTTCGAGAGACTACCTGGCCAACACGGTGAACTCTTGTCTTTACTAAATATACAAAAATTAGAGCTGGGCAGGGTGGCAGGCGTGGAATCTCAGCTACTTGGGAGGCTGAGGCAGGAGAATCGCTTGAACCCCAGAGAGTAGAGTTGCAGTGAGCCAAGATCGCACCACTACACTCCCAGCCTGGTTGACTGGAGCAGAGACTCCGTCTCAAAAAAGATATCAAACCCTTAAAATCATTAACAGTGAAATTGATCCATTTAATAGCATTCCAAGAAGGATAAGGTATTATGTGCCCCATAATCAAAAGACCCTGAAATAGGCCGGGCACAGTGCTCAGACCTGTAAATCCCAGCACTTTGGAAGCGAGGCGGATGGATCACGTGAGTCATGAGTTCAAGACTAGCCTGGCCCAACATGGTGAAACGCCCATCTCTACTAAAAGTACAAAACTTAGCCCGGTGTGTTGGCGCATGCCTGTAATCCCAGTACTTGGGAGGCTGAGGCTAGAGAATCACTTGAACTGAAGGTGGAGGCTGCTGTGAGTGCCAGATAAGTGCTCACTGCAACTCTCCACCAACTGGGGCCTGACAGAGTGAGAACTCCATCTCAAAAAAAAAAAAAAAAGCTACCCCTGAAATAAATGCACATGCAAATTCAAATTGTATACAGCACACACTTGAAAATGTCTGTCATTTATTCTTCCCTGCACCAAACCTGGTCTACACCAAGCCTGAGGAGATGTTCCTGCTCTTATAAAACGGAGACGAAACCAAAAGTCACACAAAATCATATTCATACCAACAGTCGTACCTGGATAAATCAGACCTTCTCTACCTTAATGTCTACAGCTCTCATATTCTATGTTCAGGCTTGAATATAATTTTAAAAAATTAGCTTTTTAACATTCCTAAAATCATTGGCCAATTAAACTCAAAACTCCACCTTACTTTCTTAAATTACTGAATATTATTGTCTTCTATATATAGTACTCTAGAAAATGATCAGGAATCGAGGTAAAAGCACTACATGCAAAGACCTAAGAGCTAGAGAATTTAGGATATCAACCTTATCAAAGAGCAGTGGCAAGAGTGCAACATATTTTTATCTAGTCTATGGTGCGCTTAAACTTATTGGACAGCCAGAGGTGAAGGAACTAAGCCATTACAAACACAATCTTAAGCGTGACACGAGAGCCTTTGTATGTTCACATTTGATCTATAGGATGCTATGTATCTAAGGCCCATCTAGAGTGCTGTTTACCAAGCGAACAGAGGACAAGGCTAACAGCGGAGATAAAAGGGAACATCTCATATTATACATAAGGAGAGAATGGAAAAGAAGAAGTCAGTTGGTGCTCTATAAGACATTCTCAACATACCTGCATTGATATCTCTTTCAGATAATAAAAATTGGTGATCAGATAGCTACTCTCTGCCGAGTAGCGAGTATGGAATATATTTTGAACAACAGACTTTTTGATAAAACGTTTTAGTCTGGAGACTAATCCTGTTGGCTCACTGGGGCAAATAATTTTAAATCTCCTCAGCCCACCTAGTTCTAGATCTTGAAACAGATAAATCTGACTATGCCAACAGATGGCCTTATAGAACTGCAAAGTAACTTAAAATAGTGCCTGGTCCCCAGTAGGCTGTCAATAAATCATCCGCGTCACTATCGCAGCCTGTGCGCGAGTCCAAGCGAGGTTCATATCAACGGATCCATGATCAGATACCCTATGCCCTTCAGACCGATACACCTCATAGGGAAGATGTCTCGCGCCAATCTCTACGTGCGCATTCAGATATGAGAGTAGTCCACATAGGAAAAGCTATACTACAGGTGAGCAACGACGTCCTGTAGCTTTCTTCTATGTCTACATAA